CAAACATTTCGCTGTCATCCTAGGCACCAAACTACGAACTCGTCAAAGAGACAAGTCAAGTCAATCCCTTGACAAACGTTCTGCCGAAAACGGTTACTCTGCCACTCCTCTTTTTGTCATTGTCTATCTATCTACTCTTTACCCTCTTATCCCACTGCCGCCCTATCACAAGTTTTCACTTGTTCACATTCCACTCGTCATATGAATGTTTCACCGCGTTTGATAGCCTCTTATTTAATTTCTTGAGTTTCAAACATATAAACTTTGCCAATTTGTGTGTTGTTCCATAATTGTTGTTAACTATCAGCCTTAGTAACTAGCCTTCTTTGTGTAGCCTTGGTAATCCGTATGCTGTTGGTGGTCGTCAATTTCTCCATTCATATGCATTTATTTCAGTAGATTTCATTGATCTTGATAGTTGGGTCTTTGTTTAGTTTACGATATGTGGTCCTGTCTCGTAGCATTTGTTCCATATTCTCGGTATATAGTTTTTTGTGCATTATTCCTGCAACTCCTCCTTTTTCCGCCTGAATGACTAATTTTTCATTGGTTTGCATAGTTTTGCGAATCCTGGCAAATCTGTCCCTCTGTGTTGGCTCCTGATGTGTCAAGTTCTTTGAAATCACTTAATCTCCATGTCCCATTTTGTCTCCTCGGGGAACTTGTCGGCGATGTTGATTGCCTCCTAGAAGGCAAAGACAAGTCCGTAACTTGGTGCGGCGAATGGCAAAACTCACTGATGATGCCGACTATGATGCCGGCGAAACGTTTCAGAATGTACAAAGTCCACTGCCTGATGCTGAGAATCATGACATCTACTATGGCAGACGACTTCGGACTAAGTGCGTTCCACAAAGTCGCCCTGACAACAAGACCAAGTTGCGACAACGAGGTTAACCCACTTTTATGAATCGAAACGAGACTGCGACCATACCGGGTGCCACAACATCTTGGTCTGCATATCTTCAATTAACCTAATTATATGATTTTGTGAAAATGCAACTATTACTCATCCATCACTCTAAGCGACCTAGATTGAATGCGGTTGTCATTCCGTTGTCTTCCGCTCGATTGGGGGATCATTGTCAGTTGAAGCCTTATCTTTCGTTTTGCACTAATTTCAGTCGTCCATGCACAACTTTGCGAAGGTCCAACTCTTGGGCGAACCGGCTGACGCAAGCCCGGCCTCGATGGCACCAAACGCCTCCGAGGCAGAAGAGCTTTTGCCCTCCGCGGCCTGGGAGAACGGTACATACCAAAGTCTCTTCACACTGCCCTGGCTGCTGGAGGTGCAGCGTCGCTTTTGGCCCCGTCTGTTGCAGGTCAAAGTGGACCTGGCTCTACGCGATCACTACGCCTCTTTGCGCCGCCAGACTCCATCCTCCTCTCGGCAGGCTGTATCCGTGGCCAGCGCTTCTGCCGACCCGTCGAGCGGACAGACCCGTCCAGGTCCCGACTCGGCCGGCAGCCTCGTCCGCGGCAGATTGCAGACGGCCGACTTCTCGTCGGACCCTTCGACAGTCGCCTCGTCGTCAGGCTCGCTGTCGCCCGACAACTCGGGCCCCGAGTCGCCGGAGTGTGAGAGCCCTCCACGATTTCTCTATCATTGGGGACTGACGTACGACGAAGAGGGGGTAAGGAATGGTGATGTGCATTTCTTTCAATGCTTCCTTCTTCTCATTTTCCAGTTTCAATATGAACCACCGATGAATGTCCTGTTGGAGATTAATTTTTTGCTAATTTCCCATTTCATTATAGCACTAAAACAAATGCTTTTCCACAAGTGCCGAAGGTACAGTCGCACATACGCGTAGACGTACAGGCATGATTACACGACTTTCCATTTTGAAGGTGAAGTTGGTTAGATCGAATTTGTGAAATGGTCTCACCGAAAACCGAAGCTGGACTGCCGGTGAGTGAAGATCGTTGGATTGTGCGAAAAAGTGCGCGGATCATGGTCGTGCAGCCCCGACGAATCTGTACTAAGCTTTTGTCTTTACTATCGTGATAGATGTTATCAGAGCCAGAATGCATACTTTACTAAATAACACAAAAATATATTGAACCAAAGGTTGCCGGTTGTTCATCTGCAAGCGTGTAGAGTAAGCTTTAGGCAACCTACAAAATCATGGATAGCTGATTAAGATGGCATGAAAAGATGTACAAAGAATGACTGGGGTTGCAGCCGGCCATATTTTCTCTTAGTTCAATATATCTTTTGCCCCATTTCATAAAGTATGTATTCTTGCTCTGATGATGCCCGTCATAGAACAGCCGAAAACTTGACACAGACTCTTCGGAGTCGTAGTACAGTAAGCCGAAGACGTGTTCGCACAATTCACCAGTCTTCATTGCTTCAAGACAATCCTCCTTCGGTTTCCCTCCAGCCAAGTTTACCTCCAAACTGGAAAATCATGTCCCCATGAATTAGCAAGAGATTCGTTGGAACTCAATCTTTCTTCATATACATGCCTCTATGCCTACACATAGATACATTTGGGATAGCACTACTAATATTGCCCATCTGGTCTAAAATGGTTCTCATCTTGGCGACGAAGTGCATCAGCTTGTCAACTTTTTTCTTTCGAAACACAAATGCCAACACTGCCTAGCATTGAAACCATGGCTACAAACTCTCCTCATGAACGTGAGCGCCGGTAGATCCCTTTTAGAGTCTTCTGAAACTGGACAAAATAATCAGTCAATTTGGAGTCCGATTGTTTGCCGAGCCAAATACAATATATCCGCGAAATGTATGATAACCTAGGACTGACAAAATCCTTTTCGAAGCGAAAGTTCGAACTTGCATCAGAAATGATATCAGATACTCAGAGTCTGGTCAACTTGACACACATTTGTAAAACAGTCTCGATGCTTGATGTGAAGAAAAGGACAGTAAATGGTCAACAGACGACTTGAGTATGCTCATTAGTTTAAGAATGCTGTGAGAAGTGAATACTAACCAGTCTTCATTGAGAAAGAATGTCTTGGAGTTCAGCAATGATGGGTGCCTCAAGTATACCATTTTCAGGTTTCCAACGAAACAGGAGGTTCTGTCTTCAGCATTACTAAAGTTCCTGGGTTTCCATGGCAGGCAGCATCGCGAAGAGATTAATTTATAGTTGTCAAGGTTCGAGATGATCCCGACCTACACCCACGCAGAGCTCAGAAAATTGAATAATTCACCTGATTCAATAGCCTAGAAATGTCCAGACTGCAACAAAACAAGGCTTCCAGTTTTATGAAAATCCGAAATTTGATTGATGCCTATTCTTAAATGAAACAGATTGCCAGGATTTCATCAACACGGAGCCCCAAAAGTTTAATACTAACCAGTCTTTAAAGGTGAAGAAAGTTATTTTTCGTTTATAAGCAGGTTCTTGAATTAACATTAGATCATATACATTAGATATAGTTAACCCTAATACATATACTATATATGATCTACTGGTATTCTTAATAACCCATTTGCTTGCTATGATAATTACAACTGTGCTCCATCGACAATCCCAACACTAAATGTAATATGGGAAAGTTTCTGGCCCTTCTAGAAATTCACATATCTCCTGTGATTCTAGGGCATTCGTAGAAGTCTGGCGTAGTTGTCAACATGTTAGGACTAAACTCTGCAGCGTCATAGCTCGAGTCCCGCCGAGGCTGGTGAGGAGGCAAGTTTAGGCGAGGTCGAAACGGCCGTCCACTACGGCCGGGATGAGAATGTCTTTTGGCAAACAAAGTCTACCCACATGCTCGTGGGAAAATTCATCTTAACGAAATAAGGTGATTGCATATTATGAAGAAAGTCATGCCCTTCAGTACTCCATTGTGTGTGAGTTTACTAAAGCCCATCTTTCAACGATACAGAAGATGTTCACTCTCAACAATAGTGCATTCGGTTTGACTTCCCCAATTGTACATTTTTAGTTCTTCCCACAAAGCATATTAATGAATAAATAAATAAATAAATAAATATATGGAGATGATGATGATGACTTATCAGATTGGTAGGTAGATTGCAGTTCACATGCAATGCCTGATTGTCTTCGACATGGCCCATTTTTTCCAAGACTCATTTTATCGCTTTATTTTGACCGGAATCTGTCAGGGAGAGCGTTTATTGGGTGGGTGCACCGAAAGTGTATATACGACACAAAAAGTGGAGATGCCTTTTCGAGAGCCTGCAAAGGAACTCCCATTTTCATGATACATGTTGTTCCGCTCGTGTTGACGAATCCGAAGCAGCATCCCTTGACAGACACCCTGTCGTCTTGGCAACAATGTTAACCAAAGCATGATTGCATTGCAATTGGCAATTTCAATTTGCGTGAGTGAGTCCCTGGCATAGCGTCTTGTGCTGCCGATGCATTCGAGACGAGCCTACGTCTGTCTCGCCTTGACAGACTTGATCAGATTGAAAAGATATTTTTAACAAAATTCCCCAACTCCCGAGCCAGAATTGGGGGCATCTGCAAGCCTACCCTTCTTCTTATAACAAATATAATGCAATCTTTATGATTTGATTGGCCACTTCAGGCTTCGTTCGACATACAATATGTTGATGTAGTTGGGTTCGAATTGAGCTTGGTTGTTACATCGAATTGGGAAAAGTGGGTCGGACGAATCACATGGTTAGGAGTGAAATATTTCACCGGGAGCCTGGACTTATTTCAGATGGTCCAATCACTTGCTGCTTACAACATTTGTACACACAAACAGCAGAATGCACACTAACACGGTCGGATCACACTACAGGCCATTTGGTATGCGAAACAGGTTTGGCCACATCCTCATCGTCGGGGATGTCAAGAGGAACAGTCGTTGGCCGACCGGATAACCCAAAGCATCTTACAATCACAAAGTTTCGTCATACCAAGTTGATAGGATTGTAGTCTGTTACCCCGTTTGTTGGGTAGTGTGGTTGTTTTGGTCACGAATAGATTGTTTCTGTACCAGTGTCTTTCACAACGCTGGAGTCGATGGTCATAACGGATAGGATATCTCCCCTCACTGTCCGTTAAGGCGATTTCACGAATCCCTTTCATACCAAAATTGACCGAAAACACACTTATTCATCTTATCTACTATTCCCCTGAAGGGATAACTGCACAAGACACTTCCAGCATCGCAGACAATCAGCTCATCCAGCTACACAATGAGCTTGGAAATAACATTTGGAGGACAGCAACCAATTTCACGAATCCTTTTCATACCGAAATTGACCGAAAGCACACTTATTCATCTTATCTACTTTTCTCCTGAAGGGATAACTGCACAAGACACTTCCAGCATCGCAGACAATCAGCTCATCCAGCTACACAATGAGCTTGGCAACCAAATGGCGACAGAAAATGACGCAGACATGCTAAATCACCCAACTTTCGACATATATTAATCGAATGTATGAAGACCAAGATGGTGTAGCCTTTTGTGTGATCGCAGTCTCCTTTCGTTGCATAGAGGTTGTTAGGATCGTTAGGGAATGTACCACGTCCACGGTTCAACTTTGGAAATGATTTTGCAGACAATGGACTTCGGATTGTGTGCGTTCCTCGAAGTCTTTCTACCAATATGACCATGTTGCGAAAACAAGGTCAAACAACCTCTTTTGACAAATTACTTCATAAATTGGGGTTCTCCCACGAGGCCTTGATGTTCAGGACGTCAGAATCTTTTGTCCTGTTAGCATTATCAACCAGAAAGTTAGCTGTCTCCTTCTTCCATTGGATCGTATTTATCTCTGTTCTCAGTGGAAAGAGGCCAAACTACATCGAACCTCCAGGAGGACGTTCGCCTCGGCGACAGATTAGCTTTTACTGGCTGTGAACATCGAGCCACGGAAAAGCATAATTGACTCCAGGTTACCGGGCGTAGTTATTATTTCTGAGTTCTTTTTAAAGAGCGATCTTGTCGTTTCGGGACAAGTCCATCTAACTGACTGTCGACGTACAAGCTGATGTCTAAAATAGAAAGATATTCGCACTCCCAAGGTTACTCCCATCTCATGGCAGGTTCACGAAGCGATTTTTGCTGATCTTGATCTTGCTGCGTATAGTCCGAGTAGTAGAATTTGTCACGAATTCTCAAATGACACGGATCCGTTTGAAGTTAGAAGACATTAATTAGAATGCATTGTCCGAACGACTATTTATAACGCCATTTTGTCTTTTCAGTACCAAAGGAGGAAGCGGGCTAAACAGCGGCGGGAGGCGTGCTTAGATGCGAAACGATCGGTAAGTAAGCGATTTTGATCGAGCATTCTCTCTTATGACTAGCTTATTTGCTGTCTGTAGCAAATTTGCCGCGAGTCTTTTCGAATACTTTCTAAAATCCATCTTTGAACCATAATTATATTTCATATTTAACATTTACATAATGCTGATAATAATAATATAATGTAATAATGACGATAACATAATATTATAATGTTAATTTATTATTTTTCGCATTTGAGTAGAGTTTCGAGACTACCAGTAAATCAGCAGTATGAGATGCATTCACCCTATTTCGTTTAAGGTGATGAAGGACTGGTAGGAGAATTTTCCCACAACGCTATGAGTAGAACTGACGTTTCCATTGAATTTCACATAGCCTTGCTTTCTCAAAAGTTGTTCAAAAGTTGAGAACAATTTTCGGGAAAGCAAGGCCATGTGAAATTCAATGGAAACGTCAGCTCAACTCATATGATTGTGGGAAAATTCTACTACCAGTCC